TCAGGGGTCCAAACCCCACGTCACAGAGGTGAATTGTGAATAACCAAACACTTGTTTCTCAGACACTGGGTTGGTCCTTCATCCTCCTTACAAACATGACAGTTGTTCACTCCAGCACACAGTTTACTCTAGCAGTACTCCAGTAACTTGGGAAGCTACTGTAGAAAACCAAAACCATTTCAAAAAATATTTTAGTTTACAGGGGAAAAGCAACACCTTTTGGTGTTGGAATTAAGGAAAGTTAATGCACAAAGAGGATGGATTTTATTTTTTTTTTTTTAATAAATGCAAGTGTAACCTGAAAGAAGTTTTAGTAACTGATCACTGTTTTCAAACACTGTGAATGTTTACCAGACCCAACAAGGCATCATAGCAGAGATGCTGTAGAGTAGTTTCTCTGATCAAGTGCAGGGATTTGTAAACATTTGCAAGGAAGAACTATTACCCCACAGCATTTCTTGTGGGCTCCTATGCACTTTTCTTATCAAGCTTTTAATTAAAGATGCAACAAAGCCAATGCAAATGATAGACCACTATTTAATAACTTCTGGCTTTGTTATCTGTGATAAAAGAATTTTACCTGGTTACACTCACCTTGCATTTGGGAATAAGGAGGCATGGAAAAGGAAGCAGGGAGCTTATAAGTAACATAAATCATCAACAAAACATTTTTGTTTGAATACAAAATATACAAAGCATTAAACACTAAGTGTTAAAGAGTAATTAAGGATTGTTTGATAAATTTAGAAGATTTTTTTTTTAAATTGAAAGCAGCTGGGTAAGGAATTGCAAAACCATAACAAGGTCATGACTTAGCTAAGTGTAGTTGGGGCCTTCTTGTTTTATCTGGCCAATGAGCCGCTTTCTTAAATTAAGAGAAAGTCTTTGGAGACTGCAGGAATATCAGAGGGAAAAACATATGGCCAATAGCAAATTAGATGAAGCCAAAAAAGAGATGTTTTTATCCAGAAGAATGGTAAACAATGCAAATTTAGGGGTTTGCAAGGGCAACTTTATTTTTTCAAATCAGTCTTCAGTTACTGTCTTCTTTTGACAGTAGGACTAGTGCAGTAGCTGTAATTTTCTAATATATAATGAAGCCAAGGCTGGAAGGAAGAGGCTAGAGAGATGGACAAATAACAGGGAGACACTTTCAGGCACAAATCCCCTTTCTCTGAGTATGAAGTGGAAGAAGTAAACTTCAAACTCAAATTCAAACTGAAAACAGCTCCTCTGAATTTTTCTCAGATTGTATCTTTCAGATTAGGACACTGTGCCTATGGAACAGAGAAAGACAGTCATAAGATTGTCTCTGCAGGATGAAAGCAGAGAGGTAATTTTTTATGGAATACAGATGAGACCTTGGAAGTAAGGAAAATTCTAAAATGCCATAAAACCAGTATCCTAATGAATCCATGTTTTTAATGCCTAATAGAGTCAGGAGGTTTCGATCTGTGCTTATCTTTAGAAGGTATTTTGCATGACGTGTTTCTGAACATTTATTGTAGCAAATTATAAAAAGATATGCAATAAAAGATATCTATTCTGAATCTGACAACAGCTCATTTCTCCAGAAGAAAAAACTGTCTTCATCTCTGTAATACTGTTTCTGGCTAAGCCCTTAAAGAGGCAAAAAAAGGACATGTTCTGGGTCGCTGGACAATTGTGTTACCAGTAAAAATATGCAAATCTATTGCATATGCTAGGCATCTATTACCAAATTTAAGACGTGGCTCCAGTTCCTATTAAAGGTGTTGAAGCAGCTACTTTTCCCACATTGCTGTGCAGCTAAATAAGAAGGAGCCAAGAAGAAAACTTGGGATTCAGTTTCAGATCCTGTATCTAGATTAATAGCCAGTACTGACTCCTTTTGTGCCTGTAAGAGGTTAATTTCACCCAATCCAAATACTAGGAAGATTCTAATGGGATTTATTATAAAGAGTGCTAATAAATAGGGATTAGCATTTACTAATCCAGTTTTTAAAGAACTTTAAAGGAAGGCATTAGGGAGATTCAGGTAATTATTTTACCCTCTCAATCCTCCTGAAATTATAGGTGTCTGTGACCATAAATTAGAAGACAAAAAGTGTTAGTTAAATTTATTACGTGAATAACTTATTTCTCATAATAATAAATGCAAATTATTATTTAATTGACAGTCACCTGAGGACAATATATTTACAACAGATGTCATGGAAGCATACCAAAAAATTTAACATAAACTCAAGGCATTTGATTTAGTGTCCAAGGAAAAAATGATTGAATACCTGCAAAGCTGACATTGAGAGCTATAGATTTATCTGAGAGATTTGGAACTTTTTGATGAAGATTCAAAGCACCCCCCAACTCTGCTGTATTTATGGAATTACTACAGAAAAGGATTTACTGCTTTGGAGGTGGAGATCGATAACAGTTTGTGAAAAACCCAAGTTAGAAACATCTTGAACTAAGACAAGCGTTCAATATAGAGTTCATCGTTATAAACTTTAAATTGTCCGGTATAAAAAGAGGGACTGACATTTGACCTTCACCAATTCCTATGTGAGAAGGGGAGAAAAAGGTATATTTACAGAAAAAAAAAAGGATGAAAAAAGGCTTTAGAATTGAAGTGGGAGATTAGGCACACCAGTTAAAGGCAATTGATGGGCATTTCCAAGCAGGCCTTGGCAAGGCAACACAAGGCCTGATGCTCCATTATAAATAATTTCAACTGCATTAGCCTTTCTCCATACTCCATGATCCTTTGTCAGATAGCAAATCTATGTGTTAGGTACTATCTAAAATATTAATGTATGTATAGGTGTAGATCTTGAATGAAATTACAGCCTTAGGACTTCATCTGACAAATGAAAAGGCTGCTAAGGGCTGTTGACCTTTGTCTGTTCTTACGGGATGAGATCTTAACCTGACTTGTCCTCCCTCAGGTGAGTTTTATGCATTAATTTCAGTGAGGCCAGGATTTCACACACAGTCTTTGGTGAAACTTATTCAAGCTTAACTGAGTATCACCAACTGGTACCTCAGCCTTAAGAGCTGTTTTTCATTAGTGAAGATCCTCCACATCTGAAAGCAAATTAAAAAACTAAAATTCAGATAACATCTCTAGGATGTGACAGTTCAGCCTCAGCTGAATTGGGGTGGATGGGCCAGGAGCTTGGCACAGGATTGAAGTTCAAGGACAGTGTGATTTACACCCAACACCCATCCAATGGGAAGTTGTGTTTAGAGAACCTTTGGGAGTGGTTCCTCAGCATTTTCCAAATTCTGTCTCTCTCCACCAAGGAGCAGGTGCTTTACTGAGCACAGAGCAATATTCTGGAGTCACAGTTCACCAGCATTTCCTCCTTTGTTCTCTTCTTCTGGGAGGGATAAAGCAACTCTCATAAAAGCACAATAGGTTACCGAAAACCTCAACAAGGGCATGGGGTCCCATAAATAAATAAAAAAGGCAAAGCTCCAGATTTTGCAGAGGTTAAGATCTTCCCAGACTTGCTGTGGACACTGTAAAGTCATTGTGTTGGATGTTTCCTTAACTGGAGAATAAAGTGAATACAGAGGAGAGGCGGACTGGCTTGCGGCAGGAGAGACTCTGACAACAGGAGCTTGCTCTGGCATCTCATGCCCAATTCAAGCATGGGCATGGACAAACCACTCAGTCTTTGAGTTAACAAAGAGAGAAGAGCAGAAAAAGATGGAAGTTAGCTTTTAATGTTGCACTAAGACATGTGAAAGCTTCTCCTTTAATAGGTCTTTGACTTTCCCCCTCCATGAAATAAGGCCCACATCAATTATTTTGCTATCTTGTCTAATTTTAAACTATTAGCTTTTGGAGGTAGGTCTGTAACCCCTAAAGAGAATAAATTAGAGGAGAGTTTTCAGAACACCTAAATGATTCAGAAATCTGAGGCTTACTGGACTTAAATGAGATTTAAGAGATTCAAAAAAAGCAATTTAGCATTTGGGAAAAAATTTGTGTACAGTTCTTGATCTGAATTCTCATTTGTATAAAAAATTCAAAGTACAGTGTGACAAAAAATATGAAATCAGGAACTAGGTAATGAGTTATTTAAGGCAAAATCTGAACACATTAAAATAGCCTCTTCCCTAAAGTTATAATTATTGTGGTTTTGCTCATTTATTCATTTTCTTCACTACAGAACTGAAACAAATTTCTAACATAGTCTAAAACTGGCCTGCCATACAGAATACTTAGTCTCAGAAAGTAAACTCCTACTTTCTTAGATAGGTATTTTAAAGTAGTTTTCATACTCGTTTAGAGCCATCAGAAAGAAGCTACATGAATAGAAAGTTACCTTCCTCCTTTTACCTACAATAAACTTACCTCTAAAATCACCATTAAATCATGAGATATGTTGGAAAACGAAAGAAAATAAGATTAAAAACACAGTCATGAGAGTACAAACTTCCCTGAGTAAAATCTGAATTTTGGGTGATTTGTTGGTGAGACCACTGTTGGTGGAATGCCCCTCCACTACTGAGAAAGTCACTGCTTTTCTCAGGGGAATGTGAGAACAGGCTTGGAGAGAAAGGAGGAAGCAGGGAAAGGAGAACGCAGTGGAAGGTATGAGCAGACAGAGAAGATAAATAAAAACCATGCTAACTTCTGGCACAAAAGTGTTCCAGTAACACCAGATTATATTGCTTCATTTTACTAACACTTTTTTTCTTCTTCATCTTGAAAATAACACAGATGAAATATTTCCAAGTAGTCAAAAATGCAAAGGTTTACTTTATCTTCTAACAGAGAAGAGTAAAACCAGTCCTAATTTCTGACACAAAATTGTTCTAACACTAAATTATATTGCTTCCTTTTACTAATACTTTTTTTTTTTTTAATTCCTCTTAAAAATAACACAGATGAGATATTTCCAAGTAGTCAAAAGTGCAAAGGTTAATGAAGCATCTCATTAATCTTTCATAATTGTAGCATGCCCTTGTGACCTTTGATCCATAGTACAACAACAGTATTCAGGTTATAATTCAGAGGAGCCTAAAATAAGAACAAAATCCTGTAAATAAAACCCCAGCATGCCTCAAAATACTAGGTGTAGAGCACCATGCAATTAATGGCTGGAAGAGTAGTTGGCTTTTAGGAATATGTTATACCAGCTGTTAGCCTGTATGGCTCAATGCTGAGAAGGCAAGTGCTGTAGCCCTTCCCCTCTGCTTTATTTGCCATTGTGTTTGTGATTCAGTATCAGCCGAACACCTGGTTGACAGTACCGCAAAGCAGAGCAGGGAAGGATAAGGGGCAGCCTGGGCGGGCTGTCACACAAGTTGCTGAACCAGCATCAGGTTGTCTCACTTAAAGTACATCCTTCAGAATAAGCTAAGAGTCACCGCAGGCCAGGAAAAACAGATAGAAGGAACCTTAGAGTGGAGAAAGCACTCAGTCAGCAAGCTGGAGGCAGAACTCATTGAGAAGGCAACGCAGCCTGTTTTCTTCTCTTGTAAGAAATGTAAGCCTGCGGAGGCTCTTTGGGCTCACGCCTGGCAGAGCCACTGGCTCCTGCTGCGTCTTTTGACTGCTAACAGGAAGACTCACAGGCCAGCCAGGTGCTCTAGCAAAGGAGAACTATAACCAGTGGGGTTTGACTTGTTGATGGTCACCGTTATGCTGTCTAAGTTATATTCTGTCTGGTTTCCCTCCTTGTTCTTTTGTCTTTAATGTATCTCACTACTGGAACAAGACGGTTCATCTAGACCACTTCAGATGTCTGATAGGTGATACAGATTCTACTATCCTCCATGAAAGATTAATCCCATCTACAATCTTATCATGCTACCCGCAGGCTTACCTATGTTTTCACTCTGAAGAGTGTAAAATTGTCTTGCTATCTCTGGCTGATAGAGCAGTACAAGCAAATAATAGCGAATCACTCCTTCTGTTTATTTGTATCACACTGTTGGCTAGAGATTATGACATCCATTGTTAGGTGCCACCCAAACGTAGCATGAGAAATAGCACCTCTCCCTGCAGTTCATCAAAAAACGTGTGAACAGGAAAGAAGGATTTCATAGAGAAAGGCTGAAGCATGGAGAACCTCAGGGGATGTTTACAAATGAAGTGCAACACTGAGGAGATACTCCAGTCTGGAAGATACCCTGCTTCTCAGTTAGGGATAAATAACCTAAATAGAGCACTGTGTGACTAGCAGCTCTCTTCTTGGTACCTGACTAGCTTGGGAGCATTTCCACAGCATTGCAAGATCTCTGGTAGGCACAGCTAAAGCCAATTGCAAAAGGTCATGAAGATTTGTAGCATACCTGGGACTTGAACCTAAGTCTCAGGCCTCTCAGCTTTGCACAGACCACCTGTTATCTTCTTTAGCTCTTCCCTCCCTCACTCCCTAACCAAACTTACATTTAGAAAGCACTGAAGAATAACAAATTATATCTAGCAGATCCCAGACCCTCCCTCAGAGACACCTCTGGTGCATGAGAGCTGTGGGTCCATGCCTAGATGAAGACAAAGCAGCCAAGCGTGACTAACAGAATGTAAACTACAAATCTTAATATCATGCAAGACACTCAGACAACGTAATGTGAATATTAAGATCCGAATCACATACAAAAAACATCAGAAAGCAAAGCCTGATCTCAGGCTAAAAATAGAACTGCATGAATTAATATTTGAAATTTATAGGACTTCAGATAATAAGGTGACAGCCCTTATTATTAAATGTAGCTCTGGCTTGAGAAGAGAAAAAAAAGACCTCCAGGATAGATAGGAAAGCATTTTCCTGTACTATACCTGTAATTTTTCATTTATTTTGATAGTAAAGTCTTTGGCATGGAGAATGTTGTTTTCTACTCACCGGTGTAAACAGGGCTTGCAAGCTGCTAGATAAAATCACCAGTCAGTATACCAACAGAATTTCCAGCAGCAGCTTCCCCCTCGACCAAACCAACCAAAAGCCATCAGCTCCACACCAAAATGTACACAAACCCCCAAACCTAATCAATCCTGATGTTAATTACACAACAAGGAAATCAGATGTCACCGCTGATCCACTTCCAAGTCCACTCTCATGACCTAGGATTCCTGGTATGAGCTTACCTACGTGCTATGATAGAATAAAATAGAAAAAACAAAACTCACCTGTACCACTAGGGACATTTCACATTCCTCGGGGTCAAGAAAGACAAGTTCTATCTGGGATGAAGGCAGACAAAGACTAAGAGGTTGATTAGGGTCATGGAGAGCCTGTAGAAGACAATGACTAGCAGGACTGAGATGAAGGCTGAGAGAGCTGCCACCACTTTCAAGAAAGATATCAAGGATGAAGGCCAAAGGAGAAAAAGAGCTGCTGAAGTGTAAGGGAAAAGATGTTCAAGAACAGAAAACCATTCAGGATTTCTTTCCAAGAGGAAGACCTCACCATAAGCAGGGTAGCAGCAAATATCACTTGTTGGTGTATTGGAAGAAATGGCGAGGAAATCCTGCATGCTTTTTACATCTCTGCAAAATTCATGCAGAGGAAATCAAATCCTTTCCTTCACCTCAGGCATACCCACAACCAAATGAATGTCTATGATAAAAATGCCTTTATTTACACAGTCTGAACATAGAGATAAATTTTGGCACCATTGTAGAAAATGACAGGAACAGTACATCCCTTACTCTTCCAGGACTCGAAATACTCTCAGAAAGAGACTTCCCAGGTGTTTAGATAAGATCTGAACATCTTCCCACAAAGGGATGTAAGCAAATAACTCTCAGAAATGTTAAAATAATAAATGAGTTGTGAAAGCTTTACCCC